AAATTATAGCTAATACACCTACATTTTAATAAATAATAAAAAAAAAAAACCCAACTTTCCTAAACCTCGCCTACACCATTTTTCTCAATTTTCAAATTTCTTTTGACAAAAATACATTTTATGATAGTCTTTTACCGTAATGAATATTACAGTAATTTAAATACCGTAATAAGTTGAATGAGTATTATGGTAATTAAAATACCGTAATACCTTAAAGTAGTATTACGGAAATTTAATTACCGTAATGTATGAGAAGTCTTTACCGTAATACTTTCCAAGTCACTTCCACCCTCCTATTGCTTGAAAAACTTTAAATCGAAGCTAATATTAGGGCTACCCTTCTTTCTTTTAAAAAATTCCATATTCCCACGGGAGCATGTTGTGGATCTACTCTCTCGCTAAAAAACACTTATTTAAAAGTAGTTTTGCTCTAAAATTTTGAGAACCATATAAAATTAAGTAGACATTATATCCTAAAAATTTGAGATTTGAAAAATATAGTTAGCATAGATTTTTGTTGAGGGAGTAAATAAATAATAGACTGGAGAGAGTAGAAAATCCATTGTATTGAGGGTTGGGCAATATTAAGGTAATTAAATTACCGTAATACTACTTTAAGGTATTACGGTATTTTAATTACTATAATGAGTATTATTGTATTTAAATTACCGTAATACTGCTTTAAGGGATTATGATATTTTAATTACCGTTATACTCCTTCAACTTATTATGGTATTTAAATTACCATAATGTTTATTACAGTAAAAAAACTATCGTAAAGGGTATTTTCGTAAAAAAAAACTTAAAATTGAGAAAAATGGTGTAGGCGAGGTTTTTTTTCCGATTTGATTAAAATATAGGTATATTAGTGATAATTTCCTTTAATTCTACCCCTTAAATCTCTGAAATTAAAAAAAATACAAGAATAAACCTAAAAAAACCAAAAAGTACAAATAACACATTCGTTTTAAGTCTTAGAAAAAGATGAAAAATTAAGCAAATCGCTTTTTGATTTGCATAATCATCCCTGGGTTGGGAGGAGGTCGACCTGAAGCTTACATCATTCAGAGCCCAAATGAATAATTGGAGATGTAGTCCCACCATGTGCCTCGGTATTTTTTTTTAATAAACTATTTCATCACATACTTTGTGTTCATCTTGAAGTATACAACTAGGATATTGAGCTCAATTGCGATTTATTTTTCAAGTTCATCGTAAAACCCAAAAAAACCGAGCTAAATACGAATATTATGTGGATTATCTTTAGATCATAGTTCTTGAATCACAATGCGATTGTCACATTAAAGATCGACACTCCTAATCAGTCGTGGGCCTTTATTCATCTCTACGAAAAAATATAAAGTCAGATATTCATGGTTGTGAGCACCTTCTTATTGCACAAATAGTATTATCCAACAACTGCAATCACTACTTCATTTCACAGCCGTTGATTCGAACATCTTCCCCGACATTGTTTAGATTTTTCTAAAATTTATCCCATACAGTCATTTATATTAAGGTTATGTTTTGGTAAAACCAATGGTTTAAAAAAAGGATTGGTCACCCGGATCGGGCACCTCAAAAATCGATCCAGATTGGCGACCTGGATCGGGCACCTAAAAAATCGATCCGGATCGGCGAATCGGCGATCCGGATCGGGAATCGGCTGAATCGGTAGGATTAAAGCTTCAAAAAAATCCGAAAAAATTATTAAATTTCATTATAAATGTTGTGTTTTAAGAATCCAATAAAAAATGAGGGTACTACATTATTAACTTTTATTTTTTTATCAATTTGTGAATATTGAGACGTTCTTTCCCTGTATAATTTTATTTTAACTATTAAATTTACATCACATAAAAAAAAAATCATAGAATTATCATGGATAAAATATATAATTATATATGGACTATTATAAAGAGTAGACCAATCAATGAAAGAATGGCCATTAAAATCTCGTTTTGGCAAAAAACCCTAACCCACTAAAAAAACCCAAACTATTACAGCCTAACTAACTATAATCCAAAATTACTATAACCTCACAAATTATAATATTATATACTGAAATTATAATTATTAGTTTACATTTTATAATTATTTATTAGACAAATAATAACAAATTAAAAATATTTTATAATATTATATAATTAAAAATGCATTATTGACAACTGTAAGAAAAATAGTACATTACATGATTTATAATGTAAAAATTCATAAATAAAATAAAATATTTGGTTATCAATGTAAAAATCAATAAAATGTGTACAAATTTTGGAAATAACACTTCAATTTTTCAAATATTTATTTTTTTAGGTTTCTGTAATAAATTTAGTAAAAGAGATTGTTAGTAGAAAGATGAAGATTTCAAATAAAATAAACTTTTTATTTTTATTTTTTTTATAACTTTCATATTATTTACAAAAATAATTATACCACTATATACAACAAAAATTAACGGTTATATAAAAAATTAATTTTTATATTTTTTATTTTTTCATATCTTTTATATTATTTACAAAAATATTTATATTTATACCAACCACTATATACACAACAAAAATATTTATATTTATAACAACCACTATATATACAACAAAAATGCAATACATGCCCAATGGAATTCGAAAACAACAAAAATATTTATATCAACCACTATATACACAAGTAAAAAATTCAAAGTCATAACCATCAAGCCATTTAACTACATGTGATTATAAATTACTGATTAATAGATTATATTTACATTTCGTTTTCATTTAATGATGTTTGGGAATTATCCCACATCGAAAGATGGGTATTCAAATTTGGTATATAAATACCTATGCAATATGAATTGTAAAATGTGTATAAAAATATTAGGGCAACCTCGCATGTGCGTGTGAGTGTGTGTGGGACATGCTTGCACGTGCGCTCGGACACATGTGTGCGCATGTGAGTGTGTGTGGTGCACGCTCGCACGTGCGTTCGGACACATGTGTGCATGTGTGAGTGTGCGTGGGGCACGCTTGCACGTGCGCTCGGACACTCGTGTGCGCATGTGAGTGTGTGTGGGGTACGCTCGCACGTGCGCTCGGACATCCGTGTGCGCGTGTGAGTGTGCGTGGGGCACGCTCGCACGTGCGTGTCATGTGTTACATGTGTGAATCGGGCTGAACCGGATGGGAACCGGCGGCTCCACTATGGAACTAGGCTGAACCGGATGGGAATCGGTGGTTCCACTCTATAACAGGACGGGAACCGGTGGTTCCACTATAGAACCGGGCGGGAACCGGTGGTTCCACTATAGAACCGGGAGGGAACCGGTGGTTCCACTATAGAACCGGGCTGAACCGGATGGGAACCGATGGTTCCACTCTAAAATCGAGCGGTTGTCGGTTTTCGGTTGGAACCGGCACGGGCACGCGTGTTTTCGAGTCGAACCGGGCGGGTCCGGTTCGACTCGCCGTTTTTTAAAACACTAGGTGAAACAGTGAAAGATTATACCCTTTATTTGGGTTAGCAAGGGAGTCCATCCTAATATATTTTAACAAAATCAAACTTTTTATTTATTATCTAATAACATCTATCTACAAAGAAATAACTTCTTCCTTTTAAGTACAAACTCGTAAGGAATAATAAACAATAATAGTAAACTATATTCTATCTCTCTTATCTCTTAAAAACAAGTATAACAGACTCAAACATGTTAATCCATATCCATATCCATCTTTTTTAAAAAAGGTATTTATGTACAAACACAATGAAAAATGAAAATACGAAATGGGTCGATTTTGAGACACAAATGCATGGAAGGTCGGTCAATCTGTGTTTTTATTGTTATTTTTTCAAAATTATCCCTTTGTTTTATTTTTTATTTTTAGCTTTTTCATCAATAATGCAGTACCTAATCCAGAAAGCAGTCTGAGTTTGGCATCCTCGAACGCCTTATTTATTAGCAAACAAATAAGCTAATGCAGTATGAGGATGTCAATCTCATACTGCCCAAAACAACACTAGAGAAAGCGGCCTGAGACTGCCTCTTAATGCTTAACAAAGTCAGTCTTTACAGTTTAAAGGTACCAATTTTGGACCGCTTTGAAGAGCAACAAATAAGGCAGTTTGATACTGCCCTAACCATTAGGGGACAATTCTACTATAAAAAAAATAAGAATAAACTATTAATGTACAGTTTGAGAATGATATCCTCGAATCGAGGGGCAGTTTTGAAAAAAAAAAAAACCTCATATTGACCAACCTTCATAATTTGAACCCAAAATTGACTTATTTTAATTTTTTTTTGTGTCCATACATAATTCACTCTAAAAAAAAACTAAACTTTCAATTTTACTTTTTAAATTTCTACAACTTAAAAAAAGAGAGACAAGAATACGCCTAACAAAAAAACTAAAAAAATCAAAATAAAATATTCTCTAAGTCTTAAAAAAATATAAAAAAATAAAATCAAAACAAATCATTTATTTGCATCAGCAATCCCTTAAAATATTGGATAGTGGAACTATACAAACTTTTATTTACCTTAGAGAGCCGAACCGCCGATTAGAGTAAAATGAGTATTGAAGTTTCAAAATATACAAACACAACCAGACATGAGCGCAACGGAAATTATATCCGACTTTTAAAATTTATGGACATAAATATCAAGATCCATTTGTTTTTGGAGAATGGTCACATGCAGGCTGGACCTCATGAATACATATGCGACCCAAAAAATGTAAAGCATCCATCTTAAAAATGGATGCAAGTTGGTGTTCTATCCAAAAACAATAGAAACTACCGGTTTAAATGTTTTCTTAATAGAATTATTATTTTTAATTTTTTAAATTTATTTATTTTTTCTTATTCATCATCTAGATTTTAAAGTAAAAAATTCTATATAAAAAATAAATTTATTAATAGGCCCGTATTTCTATAAATGCGGGCTTGGCCGCATGGAAACCGCGTCTCTCTCTCTCTCTCTTTGTTTTTTTTTTTTGAAAAACCGCGCATTCACGGGCGGGGAAGCTTTTGCATTCAATTTTCATCACAATCACAGGGCGTTGGCCTTGGACAAGATGTCCCTCTTTTTCTCTCGAAAAGTTTTTCCATTTCGCGCCCCCCTCCTCTCTCTCTAAAACGTTGTCCATTTCGCGTCCCGCTCTCTCTAGGAGAAACATGTCATAGGACACGAAGCAATCTCTCTCTCTCTCTAGCTCCATTTGGCTGCTGTCTCTCGCCGGAAAGAGGAAGCGAAGCAGATTGATCGAACACAAAACGCGCACCCTCTGTCCATGGTATTTTTTTCCATTTCTTCAGAGAAGTTCGCAGAGGAAGAGTGATGGCGGTCACAGCAGGTAAAGTGGCGTTTCGCGTGACCTTTGTCGTCCTTTTGGTGCTTCTCGCCTTCTACGTTGGCCGACCCCTCTACTGGAAGCTCTCCGCCACCATTCATGAGATCCGCGAGTCCAAGCACCCTTACTCTGTTCGAGACGGTAAAATCTCTCCCTCCCACTCTCGCTCAATCTTCCATCCCTCTTATCTCTCAATTCTTCTCTCTCCCTTGTCTAATACACTGTAACCGTCTCTCTCTCTCTCTCTCTCTCTCTTCCCCACCACGGTTCTACTGTCCTCTCTCTCCCCCTATCCTTCTCCCCTCCCCCACTCCTCCTCTTTCTCATTTTCTATCTCGTCTGAATTACACAATCACCTTCTCTTTATTCTTTCTCTTCTCTCTTCTCTCTTCTCCACCAAATCTTCTTCCTCTCTCTCTTCCTTCACCACCGCACTCTGTCTTCTCATGGTTTTTTATGCGCCTTTCTTGAGCTTGGATCTTGATCAAGTGCTTTTATCAATTTTGCTCAACTAGATCTCGAACTAAGCAATGAAAGAACCTTGATCTTGTATTAGGGCTTTCACATTTTGTTCATGAAGCTCAGAAATCGGTGGGATGGTTCCATGATGAGTCAGATGCAGGAGGTATCGATGATACGAGCAGCAAGGCCACTAACCGGAGGCTTCTTCAGATTGTAGGTTTGTAGTTTTAGGGTTTTCTACTTCTTCTTGTTGAGATGGAGAGGCCACTTCTTGATTTTGTTATTTTGAGTTCAGGGCGAAAGGCACACACAGTTTAGGAATAATTTTGACAAAGATGTTTGTATGCTTAGAGGATTGGAATGGATCATGGGACCTTGTGGATGCCTCAATTGTTTTTGCTTTTTATTGAGATGATATGAAACATTCACTTTATAGATGAATGAATGGCTTTATTCCTTTGCTTATCATAGAGATTTTCTAGATGGTTCTCAATTTCTAGCACCTGTCATGTACTATGTTATTTATTTTGAATTTGTTGCCATTTGATGAAAATGGAAGTTGTCGAATTCGATAGTATTCATTTTCTTCATGTCATATAGACCTTTGAAGCCAGTGAGTCCAATAAATATTCACCATAACTGCAGGGATTCATTTTCCACTTTATATTATATCATTTTTTTTAATCATTTTCCATTGAAGAGTATGCGATTGCATAGGAGAAACTTGAGATACAATTTTCCATCTCTTGAGATTATAGTTCTGAACTGTTGCTTGCTAAAGTCAGCTTGAAGCCATGATTTATAGGTCATTCTCACGGGCTGAAAATGAATGAGACAGTTGCTTTCTATTGCCTGTATTTCCTGAAATGCGACATTTGTTTTTACACTGGTCCGTGTTTTTTTTGCCCAAATGGCAAAGATGGTTGCCATATATCGAAGCAATACATGAGTTGCTTCAAGCCGATGGGCCGTCCATTAGTTGGACATGTGTAGGCACTGATGTGGTTTTTGTCAATGCCATTGTGTTTGTTGCTACTTGGTTTATTCTTCTTCGATTGTATTTATATTTAACCTTGATAGGGCTAATGCATGCCTTCGAATTCAGGATAGAAGAAATAAAGATCGTGGTGCATGTGCATGTTTGAACTTAGTTGACCTCTGCTAAAAGAAAGCGGTAGTTTCCTTTCAACTTGTAAGAAGTTCTGAACCAGTTGCATCTAAGTGTCTGTTATCTTTGAATGGAATCGGTATTTGATTTGAATATTCCTGCTTTTAGATGTTGTCGAAATTCCCGCTCACCTTGTGCTTTTGAATCTAGCTCATGTGACAACTAATTGTGTCTTGCTTTTCAATTGACAAACCATCATGCAAATGACTGAATATCTGTTCCACTTCATGTGGCATGTACACGTGCGTAAATCGGCTAACCGCATTGGTACATACTACATTTGTATGATTGAGTAGAATTAACCTAAAATAAATGGGCCTTCCAAACAGGTGTTGATATCTCGTGACCTCTTCATGGTGTTCTCTATCATCATGTTGATGTAGAGATTTTACTTCAAGAGGCAAACTAATGGTTTAGTATCAACATCCTAGTTTGGAGATTTAGCATGTGCTTCCTTTGGGAAGTAAAGAGACCTTTGAATCTTGCCCTCTTATAACCAGGAAGTGGCACAACTTCTCCAGGTCCTGTGCTGGAGGATCTTTAAGTCAGTCTCTAGTTCCACCTTATGTTTTGGTTATCAATTGTCAGTAGAATGTCATGATCACACACTGGTAGCATCGTTATCCTTCACTCTTCAACTCCACCAAATGCTTTAATTTTGTTTGTTGATGGAAAATCTGATCCATTTCTTTATGAATAGGGCCCATTCTACTCCTCATCTAGATGACGTTGGGGAATGAATTATGACATAGGCAACCAACCCAATCTTCGTTACAAAAGACAACTAGCAGAGAGATAGACACTTTCCCAAAGGTATAGTGCTCACATTCTTCCACTTGTGTCTTTCTGCAAAAGCACTTGTTGCTTATTATCTTAAAGAAAACAATGTCCACAGATTTTTTTTTTTTTTGATGCAAAATCTAAGTTGTTGCTTTATGAGTAGGTCCCATTGCACTCCTCATCCAGATGAAGTTAGGGTGCGTTATACTGTAGGCTAACAATCTTTAGAGACAATAGCCATGAGATAGACTTTTCTAAAATTATAGTGCCCACATACTTGTCCCCATATCTTTCTGCAAAAGCACTTCTTGTGATTTTCTGAAAGAAACTGATGTCCACAATTCATTTTCTTTTTTAATTCTCATTGTTGACGCAAAATCCCATCTGTTGCTTTATGAATGGGGTGCATTGCATTCCTCATCCTGATGAAGTAAGGAATGACTTATGCCATAGACGACCCAATCTTTGTGACAGAGACACTAGCTGGGAGATAGACTTTTCTAAAGTTATAATGCTCACATTCTTCCCTTTCTGTCTTCCTACAAGGCACCTGTTGCACATTTGTTTGAAAGAAAGCAGTTTGGCAAATTTGCCTTGTACAAGCAAACATGTGAGTGACATTGCGTCTTGCAAAGCACATGGTGGTAACTCTTAACTAGTTCTAGCTTTCCATGGGCATTTCTGGAAGTTTTACTATTTTGAGTGCTGTGTCTTTAGTCTTTGATACTCCCTGTGTCTAGGTTGATGTTATATGTGGTGTGAGTAATTTGATATAATTCTGTGCTCTTCTCCATTAGAGGTTCTGGTAGCCATATAGTTTGCTCCATCATTTTGCTGCCAAATAGTTTTTTTTTTCCCCTTCCAGATTTTCCACTAATTTATCAATTAAGTAAATTTAGAATCCTTTGACACTGTAGCCTTAGCAACCATATTAACAAAATGACCAAATACAAGGAATGGTTTCAATATGCCCCTTTCTATCTGTCTTTTGACTTGTCTTTATGCTCACTTGATCTTCTACTATTAATTTGTCACATGTTCATTAGTTACGATTGTTCCTTCACTACCTAATTTCATATTCATTTACTAGGACTTAGAACTAGGACCAAAATTTAGTAAACAGTTTCCAAAAAAAAAAAAACTAGGACCAAAATTTAAAAGATGACACTCTAGCTTGATACAACTGACCTTGTGTGAGATCAATTAAATGAAATGACACTATGAACCAAAGTCGATCCATGGCTTGACATGCTCTTTTTCTTCATTGTTGCATCTTCTAGTGCTATTTAGGGTTGTTTATAAATGATGAGTATTATGTCCTCCATGCACGCCTCTGTTTCTTTAGTCAATTTGCTAAATTGTTCCTCTTTCTTCTTTGTGCTTTCCCTAGTGCTACTTAAATTATGTATAGAAAATCCATTGTCCTCTGGCCTTGTAATTTACATGTCATCTCTAGTATCTAATGATTGTCCGCCCTCATAATACTGCAGGGGTCAACCACCTCTTCAAAAGCTTCTTGACTTTATTGTTTATTTGAAAGTAGTTCTCACATTTTATACTTATCCTAGTAAATTGATACTTTATTTGATGACCTCCCCATATTTAGGGGGAGTGCCTCTTCTTGGGGACCCTGCTCCAGTAACATGGTTCCACTTTCCCCAGATTTGATCCTCCTTGGGAGCTTGTTCCTGATTGTATGAGATCTCAATACCATTTAGCATGGGATCTTGATCCCATTCAGCATGGGATCTCGATCCCAATCAGCATTGGATTTTGATCCCATGAAGATGGGATTGTAATCATCATCCTTAGATATATGATTTGATGTTCTTTTTTCATAACTGATATGTGATTAGATGATTCGTCAATTTAAAACATGACTATTGTCACTAATTTAGTATAGCAGTGTATTTGTGCGTGAGTATGTGTATCTATACCTGCTGATTAAGCTTTATAATTAATGTAATTTCATCAAAAGACCATGGTGGTTGAAGGTTAAATTTCTGTTCCCTTTCTTGTTATGGTCCAATCTGAATTAATTTTTTTTAATAAGAATCTCTCAGTATGGAATTTCTGCGGTGTAGATGTATATGTATTATATATTATATATTCAGCGAGAGCCTGCCTTATTCTTTCTCCACATATCTTTTTCTTTTCCAAAACAACCCTATGATTTCTTAATCTTTTCTCCATTTTGACCTTTTGTTTGTTAAAAATTGTTTCCTACTCCTTTTATTAGTTGCTATTAATATATATGTAATGCACATCAATAAGACAATTTAATTTATATTTAAATTAAATTTAAATTTAAAATTTTAAACACACACATACACACACATATATATATATATATATATATCTCCCATTAAGCTCTCTCTCATATTAATCGCTCTATAATTCCTTTATTCATGTAACTCCTAGCCAAAAAAGTAGAAAAGTTATCATCTTCAACTTGCGTCACATACAATAAGTGTTCGAAAATTCGGCCGCCCAACCGCCTAGGCGGCCAATCACCTAAAACGCTAGGTGGGGCACCTAGGTGGCTTGCATCTAGGCGCCTAGCTAGGCGCTACAAGCAAGCCTCACCCTCCCCATAAAAAAGGGGGGAAAGGGTTTTGGGGGACATTCTAAACCCGCACAAAACCAAATCCGTGCCATGTACAGAGAGAAAAACTCCCCAAAAACCTGTATTTTGTGATTTATCGAAAGATCGATAAAATTTCGATTTTTTCCAAAATGAAAGGGTAATGCTTCGTGGTAGTTTTCAGAGCTTGTAGTGGTCAATAGTTAAGACTTTTGGCGATCGAACATATGAGGTTTGGGCCGACATTGTTTTCATTTTAATATTTTCAGAGCATTATGCCATTATGATATTTGAATAACGACTTTATTTTTTTTCTATAATGTATTATGTTTTGAACCATTTGATTTTCTTTTTTAAGCTTTTTCCCTTTTGTGATATATTTACATGTTTGTAGTTAAAAGAATTTTTTTTTTTGTGATTAATTAATTATTGACTTGTTTGGACGATGAAATTAGTCCTATATCGAATTCTTTTATGAATAATTGGTTTTTATTTGGTGCAATGTGTGATGTTTTTTTGATATTTGTTCATATTTGTAGAGGAAACATTTACCAAGTTGGACTTATATTTTTGTGAATAGTCATAAGATGAAATTGATATTTTGTGCATATTTGATATCCAAAACCAAATCTTATGAATATTAATTAATAAATAATAGGGAAATTATCACAAATATACCTAAATTTTTTCTATTTAGAAAAAAACCCTCAACTTTCATAAACCTCGCCCACACCATTTTTCTTCAATTTTGAGTTATTTTGATCAAAATAACCTTCACAGTAGTGGTATTACCGTGAAGCACCATTACAGTGCTTTAGGTAGTGTAAAAACTAACCGATGTTATAAGGCATTTTATATACCGTAAGGAGTTGAAGTATTATTACAACACTTAAAATACCGTAATAGTATCCTATAAACCCTAGCCGAAGTTTTTTTCTCCTTTAGGGTTCTGTTTGTATTTATCTCTTCTCTCTCTCTAATTATTTTTATATTTATCTCTTCTCTCTCTCTAATTATTTTTATATTTATCTCTTCTTTCTCTCTCTAATTTTTTTTTAATATTTATCTCTTCTTTCTCATTCTAAATTTTCAAAGAGAAAGATTTAGAGAGAGAAAGAAGAGATATATATTAAAAGAATTAGAGAGAGAAATAAGAGATAGATATTAAGAGAATCAGAGAGCGAAAGAAGAGATAAATACAAACAAAACTGTAAAGGAGAAAAGGTTTCGGGTAGGGTGGCATTTCGAGTGTCGTGATAATACTTCAAGTCCTTACGGTATATCAAATGCTGTATAACATGGGTTAGTTTTTACGCTACTTAAAGTACCGTAACGGTGCTTCACAGTAATATGACTACCGTGAAGGTTAGTTTGGTAAAAAAAGCCCGGTTTTTTTTTCTAAAATAGACAAAAATTAAGGTATATTTGTGATAATTTCTTTAAATAATAATTATATTATAATTTATATATTAATTCTTATTTGGAATAATCCCTACCTGTTGGCATCCAGACCCCCAAAATGCCTAGGCACCTTGCCTGTGCTTTTTGAACATTGCGTACCACCGTCCTAAGTCCCTTAAAACAAGGAACTATTAAAACTCCCATCAATTTTAGGACGTATATGTTTAAGAAAGGCCAATATAAATAAAAAGAAGATCCCTATAATAGATCCATGAGATATTATAGGAATTCAAACTTATCTCATAGGAATCAAAACTGCAAGAAGCAGGAGAAAGAGAGAGACTTTGGGTAGGACGATAGACATACGTTTACCATTCCCATTTTTTTTCTAGGCTCCAAAAATTAGGAAATTATTTAAATGTGCACATATCTCTTTATTAAAGTTGTTAGTAAATACAAAGATTACCTTTCTTTTCTTGCCCTAATATCTATCCACGCTTGCTCTCTCTTCCACGATTTCTCCACATTTCTCTCTAATATCTTCCCATATTCTCTTCCACGATTTCTCTACATTTCTCTCTAATATCTTCCCTTATTTATTTATTTAATTAATGAGAGACCCATTTAAAGTATCTCTAAATGTACATGAACATCCCTCCACTCTCTCACTTTTCTTATTAGGAAATAAAGCTTCAAGCCTTTATAACAAAGAAAGGAAGCTCATCTCTCTCTAAAACGTCTCCATCATTTTCTCTACCATGTCCCACTTCTTGAAGTTCCATATCGAGATTTTGAGGTACATTCTCTTTGATCTTCTTGCAACATGTGATGCACTATGTTCTCGCAGCATGGCTCTCTTTGACTTCAAATCGACTATGTTCGCTTAATAATCCTCTCTTTGACTTCAAATCTATGAGATCATACTTAGCTTATCTTAGCATTGCTCTCTTTGCCTTCAAATCAATGAGATCATACTTAGTTTTGTGATTTGCATTGAATTTGATTATTAAGAAGTAATTTTCTCAAAGACAATAATTCTTTTCTATAT